ATAAATCTTTAAAAAAAATTACCTTTAGAAATATTTGATCAGTTGATCTTATTTTACACATGAGTAAAAAAAATAATTAGGAATTTTTCAACCATTAACATAATGGGTAGGGGGTAGATTTAAATCTAGTTTTTATTCTGGGATCCTTGTTTCTTATAATATACTATGCTGATCATTACTTAGTATACTAAGTGCAAAAAGCAGAAATAAAAAATCAATCTATGAACAAAGCAATGAATATAGACCTTTAAAGGATATTAGTTCAAAATAGCAGGAAGAAAAATACTTATTTTTTGAATTGTGTCTTTTTTTTATTGGAGGAATGTTGGTATACAATACTGTCTGATTTGGAGGTGTAGGTTCACACCATTTCAGTTGTGTGTGACCACTTCACCATGTCTCAATGGGCCCGTCTACACTTTACGTTCTTCTCATCTCTATCTGGCAGCTCAGTTTTCTAGAGGAAGGGTCCTTTCTAAAAAAGCCCCTGTTCTGAACTCAACTATCTAATCAACAAACTAAATAAATAAATAACAAATAATGATATAAATGATATACTTATGAGTTTTTTTAAATGTCATTAGCTATTAGGAGTGAGTACAAGAAAATGGGAGTAGGCAAGTCCTCTCCAAATGTGGAGGACTCTGGGCACTTCAGGGTGGGAAAGCTACAGTCACTATACCTGAGGAGAAATACTATGCTGTCAAAACAATGGCAAGGATACAAAAATAATGGTACTTCAATGCAATTTAAAAAAATTAAATAAGTATTAGTAAAAAAAAGAGTGCAAGAAAAAGTACATTAAATACATTTTGATATGTTTGAAGTTGTCAGAATTATTATTTCACATATGAAAACATAGCCTTTATCAATTAAAATAGGTCCGTACATCACTCCCATCATTTTCTATCCAATGAAATAAGTGCACTTACCAAACTTCAAGAGACATTTCCAGAATCATTTCAGTGACCTAAAATAGATATATTGGTCAGATTAGATAGTAAATGTACATGTGTTACATAGGATGTAAAGTCAAACTAATTTTTGAGTGCCAGATTTCTTTTAAATGAATAAAACACCTAAAACAAAAAGTAACAGAGTTCGATTAGAAATATATTTCAATGCCTATTTCTTACTATTTGTTATGACATAAGTCACTTAATATTCATGTCCAAAAATAAAACCATGGAAACAGAAAACAGCCATAGCAAGGCAATTCTTATGTTTGTTAATCTTAGCAAACATTAGAATTTTCTTTTCATGGTGCTTTTTTTTTTTCTTTCAGTAAAATGAAGTAGTTCAGTTCCATAATTATTCCCCAATCATAATAGTTGCCTGAAATATAAAAACTATTGAGATATTGCATTAATTATTGAGGAGCTCTCTCTAGGCCTCAAAATCAGAGGCAGAAGAGGCTGGTAAGTTAAAAAAAAAAAAATGTGGATGAAAATTCGCAAGGTGAATGTGATGAGTGTGGGTTGGAGTGTTCAGGACACCAAACCATGCGGGTCAGCAGCACCCAGGAGCCAGTTTACTTGGTCCACTCAAGAAATATCTGCCAATGGGAGATGGGGCTTAGGCTTTAATTTTTTTCAAGACTATATGAACCAACCAAACATATTAGAGGACCCCTCATTCTAATGGGTCCAATTTTGGATTAATGGAAGAAACTGAATAATATCTACAGCACAGAAGAGATATTTAAAGGTGTCCTTTCAGACACTTCAAATATTTTGTGTAGAAAGAACTTCTCACATTATCTCTGCCATTATTCACAAAAAAATATAATTTTAGATTGTTATGAGGACCAAATGAGAAAATGCTTTGGTGATTGCTATATAATTACAAGCAACTTCAATTATTTGTATTATTATATCAATTACCACAGAATATATATTTGTTCAACATCTTCAAGTAGAACAGAATAAAACATGAAGATATTTTTAGAGCCAACATAAAATGGTATAGATTATTGCGGTTCAGTTTTCTTTTTAATTTCTGAGATGGAAAAAAAAAATAGAAGGCACATTCCCAAAAGGTTAAAATAAGTACATTGGTAACTCTCAAGTTAGAATTTAATGAGTAAGAAAAAAGAAAAACTTGCCTCTCCTAGAAAACTGTAAGCTCTGTTGTAAATAGGTCTCGTATATAGGTCTCGTATATAGGTCTCTGTTACTAACTCCTTGCACTGCAACTGGATACAACAGATACTCAGTAAAGATTTGTTGAATTATGGTGCATGTGTATATGTGTGCACATGTGTGTGTGTGTGTGTCAGATCAAGCAATTTCTCTCTCTCTCTCTCTCTTTTTTTTTTGGATCAAGAAATATCTTATTGCTACCAGAGATAAAAATCACGACTGGTCTAACCCACACAGCAACTCCTAAGGATGGAATTTCATTAACTTTTGTTTTTCCAAAGAGCAAATAAATATTACCTTCAAGTTAATAAAATAATATAGAATACCAGTACAAACAGGATTATATATGCCCAGATGAATCATAGTTCAACTATAAGTCAAAAGGTGATTAGCTTTAAAACAATGAAGGTGATTGCTGTCATAAATCAATGAAGCACTGTTCAGACCACATCCCACATGTTATGTCTATTCCCCACTTCCAAATTTCATTTGGAGTTTTTCCCATTGAGGGTTTGGAAAACACTTTGTATTGAATGAGGTTACTTTGGATACTTACTAAGAAAAACATGGGTAAAACATTCTTATTTTCCCTTCCAAAAATAATTACTAAAAGCTGACATCAAAGTAAAACTAGATTTAATATTTTTGTCTACAGAGTAGACAAAAAAAAGTACAGAGTAGACAGTGGAAATTAAATCCATTAAAATGCATTTTTTTCTTATCTTTTTTTTTTTAAAGATTTATTTATTTATACAGAACTGTGGTACAGGCCAGAGATGCGGAGGGTGAGAGGATTCATCAGGAACAGAGTGGGGAGCAAAACAGGCAGATTGACGAAGTACACTGCTGAGGGGAGCAACGGGCGGGTCAGGAGAGGTCTGCTGTGCCATATGGGTCAGCTCTGGGCCTGGGGATAAAACTCATGCTGAAGTGGCTTTAGCTTCTTTGTGCTGCATTTTAATCCGCTGCGCCACCAGGGAGGGCCAAAATGCATTTTTTTCTAACAAATGAAAAGATGTCAAAGCTGAAATGAACTCCCTTATCAAATGTAGACCTTCATGACAGAGTGTTCAGGAAAAAGCTGGCTTCCCAACCGGCATATCCCCAAGCAGCCAAATATTTTAGTATTTAATGTCTGAATATCTCTAATGCCTACTTGTCCTGGAAGCTTAATAAAATAAAGGAAAACCAGCGGAGCTATATTCATGGCCCTACTTAAATGTCACTTCCACATCCATCTACAACATTCTCTTAGCTGAGTCATTCATGACACTAGGCAGATTGACATGACTCTTTAAATGAAGGCCAGCTGAGAGAAAAGAACACACAGGACTTTTCTGTCATCTGGTAGTACTAAAAAAATGTGTTGGCATGGTTCTTGTCACACGGATCGGGTGCCTCAATTCCACATGTTGCTCAAGTGAATTCCTCACAATCAGGGCATTTTAAAGCACCTGCATTAAGTGTACTATGTTCAGGCATATGATGAAGATTGACATTCACAACCTCTCTGCCTCTTTTTAGCTGGAACATGTCATTTGGATAAAAGAGCCACAAAAATATGTACTTCCTGAGTGGCACTGAACGATTATTATGAACTCCTTCCCACAAACTGCATAAAGCATTTCTGCTTTTACAGTATTTCAGATTGCTTCATTATCAAGGCAATTAGGAAAAAAGGTCACCAGAGCTCCTCACTCACTCCAAACCCATGATACTTAGCCAGGAGCCAGAGTAAATGAAAAGAACTCCACTTTTGCAGGAATTGTAAAAAAGTTAGAAGGAGTGTGCTCATCATATATTCTTGAATTCCACAGTGAAAACAATTTCAGATGCTTGCATTAGGAGACATTCAGTTGGAAGAGGGAGGAGAAGAGGGGTGTTAAGAGGAAGAGTCACATCATTTGACTTTTATTGAAAAATTAAAGTTGTTGCTACATGTATGGTTACAAATTACACCTAAAACCAGAAATTCCATATGATTCAGTGTCCCTGCTTCTGGGTATTTATACATAGAAAACACCAATTCAAAGGGATATACATGTTCCCATGCTCATTTGTAGCATTTATTCATAATAGCTAAGGATTAGAAAAAATTTAAGCATTATCAACTTAATTATAAAGATATAAAAGTATGTATAAAACCCAAAGAAACACTAAAAAGACAGACAGACAGACAGACAGAAAGGAAGAAAGAAAGAAAG